TCCACAAACATTGAACCTAACACATATTCACAAGCTATTAAGCATGACTGTTGGAAAGATGCCATGAATGTTGAGTTGCTGGCCCTTGATAAGAATCACACTTAGACTGTAGTGGACTTGCCTCATGGAAAGGTTCCCATTGGATGTAGATGGGTGTACAAGATCAAATATAAGGTCGATGGCTCCATTTAAAGGTATAAAGCTCGACTTGTTGCAAAGGGCTGTACTCAACTTGAAGGGTTGATTATTTTGACACATTTTCTCCAGTTGCTAAGATCACCACAGTTCGTGTTCTTCTATCCATTGCTGCCATTAAAGGTTGGTACTTGGAGCAATTGGATGTGAACAATGCGTTTTTGCATGGTGACTTGAATGAGGAGGTATATATGTCTGTTCCACCTAGTCTTTCTGTTTCCAGTTCTAATCAGGTATGCAAACTGCAAAAATCCTTATATGGTTTAAAGCAGGCAAGTCGACAGTGGTATTCCAAACTGTCCATTTTTCTCCTTTCTTTGGGCTATTCTCAGTCCCAGGAAGACCATTCCTTGTACACAAAGGTGACCAAAGACAGATTCACTGCATTACTTGTTTATGTTGATGACATAGTTCTTGCAGAGAACTCTCGTCATGAAATTCATCTTGTCAAGGGTGTTCTTGATCAACAATTCAAAATCAAGGATCTTGGCCAGTTGCATTTCTTTTTAGGCTTTGAAATTGCCAGATCAAATAAAGGCATTTTTTTGAATCAGAGGAAATATGCTCTGGAGTTGTTGGAAGAAACATGCTTACTTGCTTACAAACCTTCATCTATGCCTTTTGATCCCAACCTGAAACTATCCACTTCTACTGTCAAGCTTTGCAGGATCCCTCGTCTTATCGCAAGTTAATTGGAAAATTGATTTATCTCACCAACACCAGACCAGACATCTCTTATGATGTTCAACAGCTAAGTCAATTTGTTTCCAATCCTCTACTTCCACACTATCAAGTTGCAATCAAAGTCCTAAGGTACCTCAAGCTTTTTCCTACAAAGGGTATCCTCTTTTCTTCCACCAGTGAGCTTAAACTCTACGGTTTTGTTGTCTCAGACTAGGCACGATGTCCAGATACTCGCAAATCTACCACTGGCTTTTGTGTTCTCCTTGGAACATCTCTTCTTTGTTGGAAGTCAAAGAAGCAAAACACAGTTTCCAGATCCTCTACTGAGGCTGAATACAGGGCTTTAGCATCCTTAACTTGTGAACTTCAATGACTCCAATATCTGTTCAAAGATCTCACCATCAATATGTATCAACCTGCTTCTGTTTATTATGACAGTAAATCGGCTATATACTTAGCTCATAATTCTGCTTTTCACGAACGCAGCAAGCATATAGAACTTGACTGTCATGTCATCCAAGAAAAGATTCAATCTAAACTCCTTCATCTTTTGCCCATTTCCACCACGGATCAGCTTGCAAACATGTTTACCAAGCCATTGCATTCTCCAGCCTTGACTTCTATTTTATCCAAGTTAGGTCTCTGTAGCATCCATAGTCCAACTTGAGGGGGGATATTAGCTTATATACTAGTTTAGTGTACTTAGCCTATATATTACTTGTTCAGTTAAGATCCAGTGGCTGTTAATTAATCTTGACTTGTATATATATCATTCACCTCATGTACACAAGAACTAATGAATGTAACAGTACTTTTTCATCTATATTTCTTCTCTGCACTTTCTATTGCATTCTGTTGCATTCTGTTATATTTCAGTTACAAGATCAATTACTTTCATCTCCATCAATGGCATACATCACCATTGTTGATAAAATGTGTGGGAAAGGAGATGATTGGTGATGGGTTTTTCAGTGAGGAACAGAGGGTGTCATGCAGATGGCTTAATTTGAGTAGTCACTGGAGCCGTGGGGAGAAAAGAGAATAGGTTAGTTTATTAATGGAGGATGAATGTTGAAAAACCCAAAGAAAATCTTGAGAGAGGGTACTGAGTTCGTCTTTTTTAAAGTAAGAGAAAGAGGTTATTCCTATCCCCCCCCCCCCCCCTCTCTTAATGGTACGCTGATACACTCATCTCTAAGAGAGAGGATATGTTTTGGTGTAATGGTTTTATTTTGTTGTTGTGACATTTTGTTTTCAAATGGCCAGTCTATATAAGTTGCTGTCTCTTTCATATGCTGGTTTGGCTGAATTTTGTGCAGGATTTTGGAGTGTTATTTTGGCTGTGTGTTGCAGAATATGTTTTGAATTGTAGCAGGCTGTAATTTTGGAGCAGGCTTTTGTCTTAGTTTTAAAGGTTTAGTGTAGCAGGTCCATTTTGGTGTATGAAGATGCAAGACACGCTGGACTATTATGTTTAGTAGGGAGAGTTTTTTTAGAATTTTGTGGCTTGTGATGTAAAACAACGCAATAATAAAAAAACTAATTGTATTTAAACAAATTAAAATAAGAACTAATTAAAAAATTAAATTAATTAAATTAAATAAAATTAAAATATAAACTAAATTAAAATATGAACTAAATATAAATTAAATTAAAATAAATTAACTTAATTAAAACTAAACTAATTAAAAAAACTATACTTAAGTAAAAAAAAACAAAGTTAAAATTAAACTACATTAAAAATAAACTAAATAAATAGATAAACATAAACTATATTAATATTAAACTATTAGAAAATTAGCCTTACTCAATTCTAAATAATCTTAAATAACAAACAAACAAAATTCTAAAAAGGAATGATAAAAAATAACTAAAAATACATCATTAATGATCAATGAAATGTTTAATTAAAAAATGCAAAAACAAAAGGCTAACTTAAAATATGAAATGATAAAAAGATCTGAGGATAAAATTTTGGGCATGACAGGTGACTTTCATTAAAAAAATGCAAAAAAAAAAAAAGGATAACTTAAAATATGAAATGATAAAAGGATCTGAGGATAAAATTTTGTTTATGACAGGTGACTTTCAAAGTCATGACACTTTATTTAAGTATATTTGAAATTGGAATGCCCTATACCATTCACATCACCGGAGTGGACTCATTCGTCCACAAAAGTGAAGACATGGTTGGATCATTTTTTGGAAAGGATGCAAGAGTTCACCAAATTGAGTGAGATTGAGAGAGACTCAAATAAACAAAAGTCAAAGGCGGTACCGTCCATATATATAGATTTAGCTGACGACACTTGTTTCGATTTACTTTAGTGTTTGTATGTAATATTTATTGATATTAATGACGTCAAATATATACATTTTCAAAGAAATTAACACATGTTTCAGTTTTTCAAAAATTTCAATATTTTTCTTTCCAAAACAGGTTTTGCTTCTCACTTTTATGTGTTATCGCAATGTTGGTGTTTCCGGAGATGCATCTCCAGACACAATCAAACTGTTTAAAAATAAATAAAAATAAGGTGATTTTGAAGGTGCATCTCTGAAACGGTACATGATATAAATTTTGAAGTTCATATTGGTCTAGAACTTGTATAAATATGAACTCCCATTTTATTTGTTTACACCATTACATTACATTAGAATGAACGTCAATTGGAATACTGAATATGTCTACTTCAACGCGATAGAGTTATCGACTGCATTCAAGAGCTATTGACTACATTTAAGTTCACTGAGTATACGCCTCTTGGTGATCTAGAATTCATAGTGAAATAACTCCTATCATACGACAACAATTGAAAAATTGTGAAGCTCAAGAAACGTTCACCCTCAACTAACAACAAAGGGAACATTGAATTCAACAACTTCGAGCTCAAGACTGATGCAGATGTAAGGGCCATATAGAATACATTTTTTTGTTACGAAAATAAATTTCCGGTCAAACTAGATGCAAAAATAGCAAAATTTGTTGAAAATATTGTTAGGATGTTGGAACGTCCACCTCGGCACAAATATGTTTTATTTATGTAATATATGATTATTTATGTCTTAAGTTATCAATTTTAATTTTAACTTCAATATGCATATTTGTTCTTGAATATGTGTTTCAATACATTTCAGATATGCATCTCCAAAATAAAAGCAACTTGGCATTTGTGGTATTGTCAAAAACAAATGTGATTTGTGTTTTTGGATGCGTCCGGAATCCGGAAATATCTTGGATTTTGCTCTAGTGTGTGGTAGCAATTCATATGATGCTTCTAGCAATTCCCTAATAAATTTGGCCTGAATGACCGTAATAATCTTATAGCCCATAATATATCTCTTTCCAATCCAAGCAGATGCAATTTTGGCAATTTATCTCTTTCCAGTTGAGAAAAAAGTATGGGATCATAGCTAAAGTTATTTACATAATGTATGTTGGTTAGTGATTAGGTAACTGGGCTTCTATACAAACAGCAAAATTATACTGTATCTTATAACAGCAATATCCAAAAGAATGGAAATGTAATAATTCATTCACACATTTGCAGACAAACTCACTGGGACCAGGAAAAATAGTTCAGAAGTTAGCAGCAAATAGCTGACAGCAAATCAGCAGTCGTGTCTGATGTCTCACTCTGCTTATGGAGTTCCAACTTCCAATTTCAGAGAGAAAATAAAGCTGCACACGTAACACAACTGCTTCAGAGGTCTCCAGACATCAGCAGATGCTGTTAAGTGGAAACAACAGACAATATGAGGAAGATGCCCGAGGAAAACATTCATTTCAATTTTGTCAAGTAGAGATTTTCAATAGATAAGAAAATTCAATTTTAAGTCAACGGCTGCAAAGAATATAAAATGCTGTAGATTCACTCAAATAGGAATGAAAAATACACCACACTCTTGTGTTCCAATTAGTGCCAATGATTATATATCAGTATCTCATTTTCAGAAAGCAAAGACAAGTGATTATGTTTTCATTGGAAAGCTTAAAGTCATGCCACACAATTGCCAAAAAAAGCAATGATATTTATCAAAAATTATAGTTTTACACTTAACACAACTAGAGCTTACCTGGTTAATTACAATTGCGTAATGAAACCCAACAGATATTGAGGTCATCGCCAATATTGAGCCCAACGATGAATGGTCTCAACCATCTGAGGGAACAATGCACTCACACTCTCGTTGATAAGATCCTGGAAGAAATGTATACAGGCTTCATCATCCAAGTCCAACCGAAACTTTTCCTGAAGCTGTACAACAACAAGAAAGTCTTGGTGTAAGGACAAAAAAACCATTATAACCTATTTAATGAAATAGAACGGAGCTCACTTTAAGAATCCCTTTTTCAGGATCAGAAGCTATGTCAGGAATATTGGAACCCGCCATTAAGTAAAATAGATTTAAAATTAGGTTACTGGACTTCCGAAGAATGTTGTATGCTTCACAACAGTAGGACTTGAACCTTGTATAGTATTGGCTGCAAAAGCACAAATAAATCAATCACCATCTCATAATTTAAAGCCATAAATCACATAAACAATATGTTGAATCTGAAGTAAATCATCCAATGGGAACTTTACCTTTCAGCTCCACCCATAGCCTCAACCATTTCCTTACAGAGCTTCATTGGTGGTGGAAATGGCTTAGGATCTCGGCCAAGAATAAAACCAAAATCAACATGGAAAAGACTTCCATCATCTCTTAGGAGGAGGTTGTCTAAGTGCCTAACAACGGAAAAACTATCACTTCAAATTGGGAGAAATTATAGATTTAGTGAAGAATCTAACATGCCAATTTCATAAAATATAGAATAACATGATAAAATCTATCCAACCCTCTTCACTAAAAGCCGAAGAAAAGATTTGGATGCTATTTATGAGTTATATACATTATAAGTTTAAGGAAAAGTTACACTCACCTTCATGAGGTATATATAAATATCACACAACCTTTCTATTTTTAAAATGAACACTCACCGCCCGTATTTGTTGGCGAAATTGCAAACACTTCTCAACGTACCTGTTTGTGACTCCCCCTCTACTTTTACATGGTAGAGGGAAGGTTTGTATAATTGAGTGGAGTTCATTATCTTTTACAATATAGAGATGTATGTGCTATTTCAGCATACTGCATACTCCTAGACGGTGAATGCAATTTTCTCTAAACGTAACTGTCATGAAATTTGGCTTGATGCCTTTTTCATTGTCTTTCATACTATATATAATAGTGTCGGTAATTACAACTCATAATAACTAATTACAGCTGATAATAACTATTTACAATTCATAATGACTAATTTTCTATTCTATGAATGTAAATTATTCACAATAACTGCAAAGATTATTTCCTGATTAACATCCCCCCTCAAATTGATGCGGCTGGTCAAGGAGCATCAATTTGCTAACAAGAAACTGATGTCTTGGGCGTGGAACAGCCTTGGTAAGAATATCTGCAACCTGCAACTGCGTACTGACGTGAGGAAGTGATATTATTCGATCATCGTAGGCGTCACGTATTGAATGACAATCAACTTCGATATGTTTGGTGCGTTCATGAAAAACAGGATTTGCAACAATTTGGATGGCACTTGTATTGTCAGCATAAAGTGAAGTTGACTCTGTTTGGGAAAATCCAAGTTCAGCCAAAAGACCACGAAGCCAAAGTATTTCTGAACACACAGCAGACATGGCACGATACTCTGATTCAGTAGAAGATTTAGAAACTCTTGCTTGCTTCTTACTTTTCCAAGAGATCAATGAAGAACCAAGAAACATACACCAACCAGTAACAGATCGACGAGTATCAGGACACCCTGTCCAACCAGCATCACTATAAGCACTCAACTGAAGAGAAGTTCCAACGGAAAAGAATAATCCGCGGTGAGAGATTCCTTTTAAGTAGCGAATTATACGACGAACTGCAGCCAAGTGAAGATGGCGAGGAGAATGCATGAATTGACTTACTTGTTGAACAGCAAAAGATATGTCAGGGCGAGTAATAGTCAAGTAGTTGAGGCTACCCACAAGTTGTCGATACAATAAGGGATCAGGCAACAGATCCCCATCATCACGATGATATTTAACATTAACCTCAAGAGGAGTATCTACTGGATTAGTCGATTCAAGACTGGCCATAGAAATCAAATCTGTAGCATACTTGTGTTGATGGAGAAAGATGCCCTTGGATGTAGAATGAACCTCAAGACCAAGAAAATAATGTAGATTACCCAGATCTTTCATATGAAATGAGGCCTGTAACTGTTGCTTAAGTCGCTGAATAGAAGCATGATCCGAACCAGTAATAACCATTGTTAGAACACAGATTGGTTCTTAATAATAACTCTTTGTTTTGATGATAACTGTTAGGAAATTTATATTTAAGAATTATATACTCTAAAATTTGTTTGAGAGTTTTACTGCAAATTGAATTGAAATTAACTCTCTAGAAGCAAATCTGTTTTGAATACAAGAAGTTATCCTGACTCTGTAGCGCTAGATGCATCTTACAGAAGAATCTGATTGCTCCTTACAGAAGATCCTGAGCGTAGTCTCCAGAAGGATCTGAAGCAAGAAGCTCCAGAACATTCTGAGTCAGAAGCATCTGAAGATAGTCAGAAGCATCTGAAGCTTAAGCATCTAAAGCAAAGAAGAATATTGATTGAAGAGTTTCTCAAAGCATAATTCTACAGAAGTTTCTAAAAGTACCAACGCTGCCAAGTACAGAAGTTATGTGTCAAATATGCTCTGATGATCAAACACGCTGAAAGCACACATGCTGCAGAAGACTCTGATACAGCAAAGTTCTGAATATCATTAGAAGACTCTGATCCATTCAGACTCTGAAGAACTTGCTGAAAACTGAAGAAGAAATATTCAAGAATATATCCGTTGGAGTTATTCAACGTCTCTTTCCTCATTTGTGCTAGACACACTTACACAGACAAAAAGGATTTTTCTGTGCCATCTACTTCTAGGAAAGGTCACTTGATGTGAAGACAAAAAGGCTCAGACCTTTTTGGGACTCTCTTTTCAACGCTCAGCATCCTTGGATCAGCTGCCTATAAAAGGAGAACTTCACCACATTCTTCAGTTACACAATTTGCTGAAAAGAAATCATATTATTCTAAACTCTCATTCTTTCATATTCTTCTTAGAATTTATAGTACTTAAACTTAAGAGAAAAATCACTGTTGTGATAAAAGCTTTATAGAAGCATTAATACTCTTGTATTTAATTTACATTGATTGTAAATGCTTTTCCTTAAGAGGATTCAGTTGGAATCAGTAGCTCTTGAGAAGACTAAGAACAGTTGTTCTTAGGTGTGACTATTGTAATAAGTTTGATTTAATAGTGGATTAAGTCCTTGTTGAGAAAGACAAATCACTCTAGGAAGGGTGGACTGGAGTAGTTGTTTAAACGAACCAGGATAAAAATAATTGTGTGATTATTTTTTAAGTCTTAATCTTTCATACTTATTCAACCCCCCTTCTAAGTATTATCTCACCTTCAGTTGGCATCAGAGCTCCGGTTCTGAGTGTGCTACCACTTAACAGTGTCAGTAAAGATCCAGAGAGAAATACTTTGATATATACTTATTGTTACCATGGCTGATAATTCAATGTCCAATATTAACAATAAATATGAAGAGAGGGATAGAATCAGCACCAAATCCCCAATGTTTGATGGGGAGAAATTTGACTACTGGAAAGACAGAATTGAGAGTTTTTTTCTAGGATATGATGCTGATCTATGGGATCTTGTCATAGATGGATATGTACATCCCACAGATGGGAATGGCAAAAAGATTGATAGAAAATCTATGACAGATGCTCAGAAGAAAGATTTCAGAAATCACCACAAAGCCAGGACTATATTATTGAATGCAATTTCACATACAGAATATGAGAAAATTACAAACAGGGAGACTGCTTTTGATATGTTTGAATCCCTAAAAATGACTCATGAGGGAAATTCTCAAGTTAAGGAGACAAAAGCTCTGGCTCTGATCCAGAAGTATGAGGCTTTCAAAATGGAAGACTTTGAATCTGTTGAAGCCATGTTCTCCAGATTTCAGATACTCACTGCTGGGCTGAAAGTTCTGGACAAGGGATATTCTACATCAGATCATGTAAAGAAAATCATCAGAAGTCTGCCTACCAGATGGAGACCAATGGTGACTGCCTTGAAGATGGCTAAAGATCTGAACAAGATTTCTCTATAAGAACTCATCAGCTCACTGAGGAGCCATGAGATAGAGCTTGAGGAAGATGAACCTCAGAAGAAAGAAAAAGGTAAATCTGTTGCTTTAAAATCTAACAAAACTGCTAAAGCTTTGCAGGTTATTCAAGAAAGCTCTGAAGAATCTTCTTCTGAAGAAGAAGATGAGTTATCCATGCTGTCCAGAAGGATTAACAAACTCTGGAAGCAAAAGGGAAAGAAGTTCAACAACTTCAGAAGATCTGATAACAGAAAGGAATTTTTTAGTCATAGAAGATCTGCCAAGAAAGAAGTTGTGTGCTATGAGTGCAAAGAACCTGGGCACTACAAGAATGATTGCCCCAAACTTCAGAAAGAAAAACCCAAGAAGAAGTTTAACAAAAAGAAGAAGGTTTTGATGGAAACATGGGATGACTCAGATGAATGTGAATCATCTTCTGAATCAGAAGAAGAATGCGCAAATGTTGCACTGATGGCTAGCACAGAGGATCAAGAGGAAGGTACCTCAGGATATGAATCAGAATCTGAATCTGATGATGATACAGAAGAGGTAATGGCTAAACTTACCAAAGAAGAACTCATTAAAGTTTTAACAGAAGTTCTTAAAAGTTATAACAATATCAAACTCAAATACAAGAAGCTGAAAAGCAATCTTGAATCTGAGATTGATCTTCTGAAAACAGAACTTGTTAAGCAAGAAGAAATAAATCTGAAAATCAAAAATGACTTTGAAATAACTCAACAAGAATCTGAATCTGAGACTAAGTCATGTGAAAATATTTTAGAAAAATATGACTCTAACTTTCAGAGATTTCTCACTAAGAGCATAGACAGAAGCAAGATGGCTTCTATGATCTATGGTGTTAGTGGAAACAACAGAAGAGGTATTGGATATGAATCTTCATCTGGAAGCAATCCAAAACCTGTTGACAAACTTTTCATCAAGAAGACACCTCTGTATTCTCAATTCAAATTTGGTCACTTGAATGACATTAAACACACAAGCTCTGAGAAGAATACTTATGTGTTTAAACCCAAGGCAAGTCAGAATAAACATTATGTTGTGAAACAGAAGTTTAGACAAACCTACAAACCAACTAACCCCAAAGGATCCAAGAAGATCTGGGTACCTAAAAACAAAATAATTTCTGTTGCAGATGTTCTTAGCAGCATGGTCAGGACACCAATCATGGTACCTGGACTCTGGATGCTCGCGACACATGACAGGAGAAAAGTCTATGTTCCAAAGCCTGAAACTTAGATCTGGAGGTGACGTGAAGTTTGGAGGGAACCAGAAGGGCAAGATCATTGGATCTGGCACTATTGGAAATGGTAAACTTCCCTCTATTACTAATTTTTTACTTGTTGAAGGGTTAAAGCATAACTTATTGTCCATAAGTCAATTAAGTGACAATGGTTATGATATTATCTTTAATCAAAAATGTTGTAAAGCTATCAGTCAGAAGGATGGCTCTATCCTATTTAGTGGTAAGAGGAAAAACAACATT